GCATGCTCACACCAGAAAATGGGAGACCAGCTCGTCTAGTTTCCGGCACTGCTGCACACATTGCCAGCTGATCTTTGCATATGCATGCACACCAGTAACCTGGAAGAGGAATGGACGACACCTCACGTGCCATGCCACATGGTTCCATGTGCCATTTCGGGCACATGTGCCATACTTTCACCATCATGGGCTTGTAACATTTATAAGCTTGGCTCCATATAAATATATTAACATGGTACCCAATACAATTCAGACAAGAGGGCAGGAAATCTCAATTTGAGTGAAAGCTGATGTTAGATGTGATGTGGGTATTACAGTGGAACCATTGCAAGAAGCTAACAAATGCTACTGATCAAGACCAGAGTCCCACTCTCAACAATAACTTTGGAGGGAGAGACAAGCTGTAGTCTCCTTGCATAGGAGAAGATATACTCAACCAAGCAAAAGTCACTTATGAATAAACACGTGCACTCTCTTACTATTAAGTATACTTCCACCTCATCAGGTAAACTAGATTAAGCAAGTAGGAAACAAACCAGTCCCTAATGATAAAGTGATTCACACAAGATTGCTTTGTAAAGCAAAACAAAAATGCAAAGTAAACAAAATGACGAGCCATGTCTGATTTACAGTACTCCAGGTATTTCTTACTCAGCCTCAGTGTTCCTCACGTGTAACAGAGGAGCAGAGGAACAGAAAAATTGAGCCTTAAGGCGGTTTTAAAGAGTGTTTGTTAGAATACCTCATATGAGTCAATAAAAATGTAGGCTTGATCTGGACAGTACAGTCACACAGAGTGCAAGCTTCATTTTGTTCTTGATCTCACCCATAACTTTGTATCTCTCTTCAGATTGACTAGCAGGATGAAGTCCACCCAGGCAGAATTGGACTATACCACTCATGATCTTAGTTAGTTCATAACATAAGGAAATGCTGTTGGTATAGTATAAAAAAAACATGCATAAAAAACCAGGTGTTTTGTGATTATTCCAGTGAACCAATGTGGCTTGTCAAATTTTGTTGCTTTTTATTTCAAGGAAGAGGGTCCCCCTATTGTAGATAAGCATCAAAATCTTTTAAAATGTGAGGTGCAAAGTTCATTCATTGTTGGCAAGTCCAGCTCTAAACAGTTCTCACTGAAACAATTGTTCTTTATTTACTCTACACTAACATTCACACTAATGGTGCAACAGCTACTGTATTGTTTCTATGTAATTGAGAGAGGTCAGGCTGAGGCATTCTGTTCTGAAAGTATTACATTCTCATGATAACAAATTCAATAGTTCATAATTGGCCATATTTTCCTCTTCACTACATAGCTTTTATACAGAAGGAGAAGGAAAGCTGTACTTAACCTTTCACATAAAGTTGGCAGGAAAAAGAGACATGAAATACATTAGTAATTCGATAGGCTGTTTTCTAAGATGTGAAGTATTTGGATCATTTAGGATTTACAAAGTCTTAAGTGCCAAATTTACCATGAGCCCTGTGCTTCAGATTTAGGTAAACTTGGGATCCAATTAGTGTTTGCTTATTATTACTCTTATCCTGTTTCTGTTTTTGAAAGAAATTAAGACTGCTTTGTAGAAAAAGATTCCCAATCAGCCTGCCACCCAAAAAACATAATCAAACCCATAACCATTTAACAGGTTTGTCGGATTTTTAACATCAGATTCTTTCTTAATCTGCTCTGGAATACCTCTAGAAAAAATTCCTTTGGAAGCTTTATTCCTTCATGAAACAGCTCCGGGTTCAAAGCGATAAAGGAATGTTCTTTGCATAAGGCCCATATGAATTAAATCTGACACTCAAAACTTTTCAAAGCCATAAGACCTGATAGGTCTCAGGAGGTATTTAAAAAACTCATTCAACTTTCCCATCCAAGCTAACTTCTTTAGCAAATCCTGTACTGCAATAATATGATATTTGTAAATAAGACGTTAACCCAATAGAGATCATTATGCAGCTGTTTCACTGCACTCTAAATTTAGTTAAGCAGGCGGTCAAAAGTTAAGGCAGTCAGGGTTTATACACTGCATTAAGCTATAATATTATTTATTTGGCCTTGGAATGCAAGGCGATCAAACCAGTCAGTCCTAGAGGAGATCAACCCTGACTGTTCTTTAGAAGGGCAGATCCTATAGATGAAACGTAAATACTTTGGCCACCTAATGAGAAGGAGAAGAGCTCAATGCTGGGAAAGACTGAGGGCAAAAGAAGAAAGGGACGACAGAGAATGAGGTGACTG